GCCGCCGGCAAATGCGGCGCCCGCGGCTCGCGCCAGTTTTGGGCTTAGGGTTTAGGGCTTATAGGGTTTAGGGTCTAGGGTTTGGGGTTTAGGGTTTAGGCCTTCTGAGTCAGACTCGGGATTTCGGTGTATAGTGTGGTCGAATGTGTGCACACGCATACAAGATTGCGCTTGTGCATGTATGTACATGTATATATATATATACAAATATAAACAGTTACTGTAAATAAATATGTATATACACACACATAGAGAGAGAGAGGGACTGCAAAGGTGTAAATTGAGACCTCCCCAGTCCGCGGGGTTTTGGGGGCTTAGGGTTTATGACTTGCTGGGGCCTGGGGCCTGGGATCGAGAGAAGCCTCCGCTCCGTGTTGGTGGCTTGGGGTTTAGGGTCCACTCGGGGCTTTTGGTTTTTGGGCTTAGGGGTTTAGGGTTTCGGGTTCAGGGTTCAGGGTTTAGGGTTTTGGGCCTTAGAATTTGGAGTTTAAGAAGATGTGTGTCGATGCAAAGACCGAGGACTAGCCATACCTGTAAACCTAAAACCCTGACCCCAAAGCCGAAATCTCCGTAGGGATGACATGCTTAAGCGCCCAACGTCGTCGTGGTCCTGTAGTGATTTAGGCAGGTGATTGCAGGTGCTTCGTTAGTCTGGGACATTTTCAGGTGGGTAGCTACCGTTATAGGAGCCTTGTAGAAGGTCTGCATACCTTATGGAAGCCTAAACGGGCTCCATATACCCTAAACTCCCCACCTGTAGTGTCGTTTAATTTAGGCTTGCTGAGTTTGATGGAGTATTTGCTTCATGCGTGTGGCAGCACTTGCGATACGTTGAGCACGGTTCCTAAAACCCCCGGACTCCTTCGTAAATGATTTGTGTAGCCCAAAGGCTCCATGTACCCATATAGTATATACTTAGGCCTGAAAGGGGTTCCTATATAGGTACTTTAAAGCCTATGTATATACAAAATAGGTACATGGAGGGTACAAGGAGGGTCCTGGTGCTCAGGTCATTGATCAGGCGGAGTTCATACAGATGATGTGCCCCGTGGGCTACCGACTCGACGGGGTGGCGGACGAAGTGAGCCAGACGTGGCTTGGCCCCATCGGTCCAACACGAAGCCAGTCCGACTCCCCATTAAAACCCTAAACCCTATAAACCCTAAACCCTAAACCCTAAACCCTATAAACCCTAAACATTAAACCCTAAACCCTATAAACCCTATAAACCCTAAACCCCCAAACCAGCAACGAATCCTGCAACTCCCCAGACGCCGAAGTTACCGGAAGCCCCGAACATCGCGGTACGGAAGGAGGCTGAGGTCCTGAAGCGCTGAGCGATGCACCCCCGCACGACCCGAACCCTGATCTCACAACCCTAAACCCTAAACCCTAAATAAACCCTAAACCCTAAACCTCTAGCCGGGACCCTCAAAGTATGTAGCACAACAGCCTTTTGTAGGTGTTGGGCCATTATTCTACCTAGTTTTGGGGGCTTAGGAACCTCAAACCATTAAGCTCAGGACTCAAAACAGAAATGCACTGAGAAGCGAAGACTCGAGTAGCATTAAACCACCAATCATCATCATCATCATCATGAACGGTTTAGGGTTTAGGGTGTCATCATGATAAGACTCAAACGCAACCTACCCGAGGTTGGCAGAGTTTCTCCAGGCATATGTGGAGGAGGCAGGGCTCTTGGCTTTCACTGGTAATCCAGAATGTAGTGTTGTTTTACTCGCGCTTGCAAAGCGAATCAACATTCGAGTATATTAACAGTAGCGGCTCGGCGACAAGTAAACATGAAGCCACGTAGAGATGCTTCAAGGTATGTCTACAAAGCCGAAATCCGGAACTTATCCTGATCCCTACACCCTAGCCCCGTCAACCCCTACCCGGAACTCATCCTCCGGTGTTTTGGAGGAGCAGAGGCACGTTACCCTGGAAGAGGATCGCTTTGAGCACGGTGCCCACAGGTCGCGAAGGGGAGTGTTTAGAGTTTAAGGTTTCAGGCTTCAGGGGTGTGGGATCTTACGGTGTAGTGTCGGGTTCAATCATGCGGGCGATTCAGGGTCGGCTCTTTTGGATGTCGGGTGTTAGGGATTTGGGTCGAGATTGTAGGGTATGGGCTTTTGGGCTCGATAAACCGTTGATGGATTTTGTTTTAGGGTTTGGGGGTTTGGGGTGGAGGGCTTTCAGCAAGTGGGTTTAGGGAATTACCGTTTGGGGGTTTGACAGAATCTAAGATTCCTGATGTAGGATGTTTGAGCTTTATACGGGCAATGAGTTGTTGGGTGCCATATCTTGTTCATGGTTGCAAGAAGCTGGAAGCTAGTTTCTACAAGTCGAAGCAAAGCCTGACTACATAGCTCTTGCCGATCTGGATTTTAGGTCTAGCTATGTCCAGGTTCTATTTAGGGTTTTGATCCTTGTTAATATAGAGGCCTTAATAGTTACCTATACTCTGCTGGTACTACAATTATAGCATAGTAGACCCTAACCCTATTCTAATCACAAAGGCCCCTGTGCACACTAAGCCCTAAACCCTAAACCCTAAATCCTAAGGCCTAAAGCGCTAAAGCCCTAAAGCCCTAAAGCCCTAAAGCCCTAAAGCCCTAAAGCCCTAATTCTGATGCTACTTCGGTTGAATGATTCGAACCACGAGGATCCTGCAAAGGTACCCGAAGCTGCACAACGGTCCCAGTGGGTTTGGGTAGTTACACCATGAACAGGAACCCGAAGTCGTTTTATCGCGAGTACTTGGACCCCTAGGGTTTAGGGTTCAGGCTTTGGGGTTCAGGGTTCAGGGTTTAGGGTGTTTAGGGTTTAGGGTTTAGGGTTTAGGGTTTAGGGGGTTGTTCAACAAAAAAACGTCAAATACTGGGCAGGCTACGGGCCAACAGCGTATCTTTGCATGCGGCGCTGCCCATCGCCCCCCAGGACGGTGACGGGATGGGCGGGAGGAACTCACTGAATCATGATCTTCCCGTGCATGCTATTTCTGGCCCCAATTCTACAGTAGACACGCCCTATGTAAGCCTTGAGCGATGGGAGGGTTCCATCGAAAGAGCTACGAACTTTAGTTAGCAGTTTCTCGGCTACCTCTTCCAGCTAGTTTTCTGTGGCTCAAGGATGAGTCTACCAATTTACCATGAAGGCTTCATAGTTCATAAACCCTAAACCTAAGGCCCTACCAATTTACCATGAAAGCTTCATAGTTCATAAACCCTAAACCTAAGGCCCTATACCCTAAACCCTATAATTATCATGAAGGCTTCATAGTTCATAAACCCTGAACCTAAGGCCCTATACCCTAGACCCAATAATGGTTGGAGGCTCTTCAGGGTTTGCAGCTGATGCCTTTGATTTGAACCCTAAACCCTAAACCCTAAACCCTGAACCCTAAACCCTAAACCCTAAACCCTAAAGCCTCATGGCTGTCGCAGGGTGAGTGGGAGAAGTGGAACTCCTTCTTCGATCGGGTGGACCAAGACGAAGATGGTTCTTGGGTGCAGTACAGTATCAGGGTTTTGGGGTTTGGGCCCCAAACCCTAAACCCTAAACCCTAAACCCTAAACCCTAAACCCTTAGGGTGCAGGGTTTAGGGGTTATAGTATTCGGGTTTGGGGTCAGGGGATCAGGGCTCAGGGCTTTGGGAGTAGGACTTCTCCTCAAAGCCCGAAACACCACAGAACAAGCCCAAAACCATGGTACTTTGGTGCAATGCAGTCCATGCATTGAACCAGATAGAACCGGAATTTATAGTTCCTTCTTCCGGCCCCTAATACCCTCAACCCTAAACCCAATTCTGGAGGCTCCTTTAGAGTGGCAAGCTCCCTCTAAACAGAAGCACTGTTTCCTGAGTGGGCAGTTCTCACAACGTTGGAGCTCTTTGTGATTAGTGTTTAGGGTTTTAGGGTTTAGGGTTTCTAGCCATTCTAGCCATGATTGGCCCAAAATGTTGTGGTTTTGTGAAGTGCCCCTTCTCGTGTCAGACTGCATGAAAACTCACGACTGCACACCGTAAATACTAAACCCTAAGACCTAATATGCCAAAACTACACTCAAACCGTAAACCCTAGCACCTAATATGCTAATCATACACTATATCTACGTAATTCAGCCCTCACTCCTCCGGCCTATACCTAAAGCCCTAGACCGCACACAACCCCGCCCCGCACCCCGAACTCCAACTCCATGAAGTCTAGATCCTCTGGCACCCTTAGTTCAGGGCTGCTCTTAAACCGAAATCGGGACCCTTATCATGATTTATTATCCCTAAACCCTACATGAGCCTTAAGCCCCAAAGCCACTCCTTCGACTTCGACACCGCGCTGCCGCCCAGGCTTCATCTCAGGGGAGGAACTGCGAGCTTGCAGCAGCTCGGAGGAACGTAGAATCCCAAAGAGTCGTAAGTACTTATATGGGGGATACTTGCCCAAACTATAATAGTAGTTCCTACTATAGAAACCTCACACTCTGCTATAGGTACTTACGACCCTTTGCCTCAATAATTATGAGTGTGATTGCTTATAGGGTTCTTTATAATATAGCTATAGCATCATCTGTCTTGTCTTAGGGATGATCCTGAATTACGGTCTAGGGTGTCTGGTGCTTTCTGCTCCGACACCGGCAGAAAGCATTAGAACGATCGTCGATGGCCAAGTTACACAGAGGGACCCTGGCACAAGCCTTGCGGAAACACTTGACTGAAACCATAAGCTTACATACTTAGGTAGATAGATAGATAGATAGGTAGATAGGTAGGTAGGTAGGTAGGTAGGTAGGTAGGTAGATAGGATAGATAGATAGCTCAGCAGAACTTGCACAAGTCTCTCTTGCACATCTTAAGCGCAAGCCTCAGCAGTTTCCTGGGAACAACTGAGGCAAGGCCCTCCATTCCGGCAGCGCTTGCGCCTCGCCTCTTATTTGCTTAGCAGAAGACCCCAAGTATAGCAGCAGTTCTTGTACTGTCTGGTGTAAAGCCTACAAATAGTAACCTATCTGGGTTATTTGGAGTTTCAGGGTTATGACCATTCCCACTGTTCCTGCTGCTGTTTTCACTTGGACGACGGCAACAACAACCACTACTGCTGCTGCTGCTGCTGCTACTACTACAGTTACGACCACGACCACTACTGCGGCTACTACTTCCACTAGTAGTACGACGACGACTACGATTGCATAACTACTACGACTCCTGCAGGAGCAACGAGACACCAACATCAACTAGATAAAGGATAGCCAGGCAAGCTTGCTTACTTGACAAAGGTGAGCTTCTCCTGGCCGTCCTCGATCCGGAGACGAGGTGGGGAACAGGAAACCAAACTAGACATCCAGGGTTTAGGCGTGCTGTACCGAGGGGTAGGCTCAGGCTGCTTGACCAAAGTTTGCATAAGGGTTGCTTAGGCTCAGGGCTGCAGGCGAGGCAGCAAGCAAAATATGCCCAAAGCAGCTGGTGCCTGTACTATTCTGGTTTGAACCAGTACTCATGTGTTCCACAGACTTGGTCGATAAGTACTCTTGGGGGGCTGTCTTCAAACATGATAAGTCGATGGTGTTACGAACATCTTGAGCATGTTTGGCGTACCGCTTGCAGTACAATTACTAGCAGCAGTTGAGTTGTTAGAAACATCACTGGTACTAGCACTAGTACTAGCACTAGTACTAGCACTAGTACTAGTACTACTACTACTACTACTACTACTACTACTACTGCTGCTACTACTGCTACTACTACTACTACTACTACTACTACTACGGCGGTTGATGATATAAATCCTGCATTACCCATACTTAGGAATATACGATAATTCCCATAGTTTAGAGTCCTTAAGGTTATGCAGGATTTATATCATCAACAGTACTACTACTACTACTACTACTACTACTACTACTACTACTACTACTAGTACTACTACTGCTACTGCTACTGATACTGCTACTGCTACTGCTACTGCTACTGCTACTGCTACTGCTTTCATAACGGACCTTATGCTTACCGTCGTTCTACAGCTCAAACGTCCGTAGTACCTGCTTTTAGTTCAGCATTTTGACATAGCCATAGTGAAGAAGTTGATGCTGCTGAGTTTTTGGAAGGTTTTGATTGTTTTTAGTTACCATCACAGCCTCGACGGCGCCCAGCCCAGTTCCTGAACGCGCACTGCTAGAGCCAACAGTCCGAGTCCCGTGAATCCAATCTTCGGAACGGCACGTCCACTACATATAACTCTGAAGTCTCATTAACCCTAAACCTCAAAGCCCCAAACCCTAAGCTCTAAAGCCCTAAACCCTAAACCCAAAGGTCTAAACCCTGAAACCCTAAAACCCCTAGAGTCAAAGCCCTAAAACCCTAAAGCCCTAAAACCCTGAAGCCCTACAAACCTAAAGCCCTAAACCCTAAAGCAATAAAGCCC